TTGCATGCTCCTTTCTTCCCAGCCTATCTCTCTTTCTCTAAGCTTTTCACCTGCTCCTGAAATCAATGGCAATGCATGGGGAGACAAGACAGTCCATTCAGCTCTGCTCAGCCTGAGAAGGCTCAATAAAGGAGAGGGACTTGACCAGAGCAACCAGAAATATCCATGACTGAGGAGGTGAACCTGGGTCTAAAACAATGGATATTGTGGTCAACCTGCCAGCCCAATGCATCCATCCATGCCTGACCAGCCACACTATACCCATGACAACATCAGCAAAAGCTATATTTCCCTCATCTGTACTGTCCTCTCTCTTCTTCTCTTTCAGTGTCTGTTTATTCTACGACAAGAAGGTTACTAACACTCTCAGACTTTAAGTGGTATTCAGTGTCTCCAAAAAGAGTTTGATAGGTTTTGATTGCTTTGTGCAAACAATCCATTTTCACTTCGATGTTCTTTACCTTCAATGTTCTTTTGATTCTTTTTGTGTGTTTCAAAGAAGAAAATTCTACCTCAGGATCTGAATTTTATAGTGTATTTGTGATGGTATTGAGCAGCAGCCTGAGAGCTCTGCATATCAAACCCCAGATCTTGTTTAACACTATTTCATGTTGGACGGTGACTGGGCTATGTGATACCTTTGGCCCTGTTATTCCATGTAAACTAAAACAACAGACTGATAATGACATTCCCAAGATTTGGGGGCTAGCTAGTCCCCAAATGATATCCAGGTATGCACTTTCCTGGAAAGCATATCTCTGATCCCTCCGAATTTCTGACCTTTGACTTCTTCACCTACTGATTTCTCCTGTTACTTGTCACATGTAGAACCTTCCAACATCATGTTGGCTTAGGAGTTCCTCTACAAAATACTGACCTTTTGTATTTCCCTCATGTGAGCAGATTTGTGCCATCCCTCCTCCTTCAGAGCATAATCCTTCGCTCACCACCACTACATGTATTAGAGACACAGAAGAGAAAACAAATAACAAACATGGCTGGGGTAACATGAAAATGCAAAGCAGGTGATGCTGATAATTTCAGTTACACATTGGCTTTTCATCACTGTATGCAAAAGGGAGATCAGTGCCCTAACAATAACACCTCTGTCTTTGCCAGGAGTTTGAATAAGTGAGAAAGAAAGAACAACAGGAAAAGTGATTGTAGCCTCCAGAAGGTCTTTGTTGCAATTTTTCCCATCATTGAAAAACATTACATCATAAAATAAAGACAATAGCAGCAAAACTTATTAGATGGTACAAGCACATTCCGCTTAGTACCCTGGCTAATGACATTTATGAATGCCTCTTTCTTTTGAAAATGCCTTCCTAAGCACCATGAAATCTTACAGAAAGAAAGAGAAAAAAACAGGTAGAATATCTCTGCAAGTGTATTTAATTATTAATTATGACTATTATATTATTAATCTGAAGTGGGCCAGAAACAGACAAATTTGATCCAAAACCCACACGCAGATCCCCACACCCAAAATCTAAGGAAGTCTCTATCAGATCCACATCTCAAAACTTCAAACCAGATTTTCAAAGCTGAGTCCAGAACATCAGAGTGAAACACCTTTAGAATTCTGACACAATTCAGTCCCAGCTTACATCTGAATATGAACTTTGTGATTTGAGTCCATATCTATCACATGGGTCTCAATTGGGACACTGGAGTTAAACCCACTCCAACTGTAAGGCAGTTTCACTTCAGAAGCCAAAATCCTACCTAATTCTGATTATAGCTTGTAATCTAGTTCACTGCTCTGGGATCTGTGAAATAGCTAAGGAATTATCTGAAGGCTGGTAGGTTTGGTTTGCATATCATAAGAGGCACCATTAAGCTTTTCTGTCCAAGTACACAGCTCTTATGAGGAGGGAATGTGTATGGGCGGAATAGATTCTGGAGAGAAAAATATTCCCTCTCACACATCCACAAAAGGATGGAGACCTGCTAGTGATTTACCCTTCAGGAGCTCCAACTGGAAAGCCAAAGCTCATTTGTCTAGACAGGCACCTGCTACAATGATGTCCCTTTTCTGCTAAATAAGCAGCATCTAAATCTCAAACTGAGAACACGAGGCTAATATGTGATCTGCATACTGCCATGTGCTAGCACAGAGATTTAAAAGGGAACTAACTACATATGGCGAGGGACATCACCATTCAAGTTTTGTACAAGAACTGCATAGATGTGCTAGTATGAAGTGCGTGTGCACAGGGTTTTATTTACAATTATTTAAATTGCATGTTGTTCCCAAGTACCTATAAGCAATGTGAATGGGACCTGTGATTAACATGACTTATTCCAGCCCAGCTCCAACATGTCTCTACTCCTTTAAAACTATTCCAGCTTGACATTCACACTGGCACCTTGATAGCATTTGATTTAAATGAGATGATGCAACATTGGTCACCATGATTATGTTGTTGTATCGTATCAGTGAAAAAGAGACAACAATGAGAAAAACAGAATAGAAAGATACTAAGGCCCAAATCTTCAAAGGTATTTAGTTGCCTAACTCTTATGGAAATCAGTGGGAGTTAGGGACCTAAGTAAGTACCTTTGAGGATTTGGGTCTAAGCTCTTTCCCCTATCTATTCCAGCCAAGTAGTTGCATGCTGTGGACTGGGGGAATATCTTTGAGGTTCAGGTAGCTATGTTGATTTGTATGTGTTTCCTTTTTGCTATGGATATTGTATTGCCTCATAACCCATTTACAGAGCTGTATTTATTACTGATTTGATCCCATGCTATTAAGTATGCATGACATCTTGTAGATGGGTTTAAAAACAGCAGGTCCAAAGCAGCAACAGACTTCTAGTGACTCTCCCAAAATCCTGGGAATTAGCCAGCCTCCAAGTGGCATGCACTTTCCTGGAAAGCACATCACTGAGGCGCTATTGTTTCTCCATGATAATATGCTAAATAATGCAAACTCTAGTTGTTTCCTGGATGGTGGAAAAAGCCTCAGCAGCAGATCCCATGTTGTTTTGGCACAATAAATGAGCAGTGGAAGCAAAAAAAAGCCCATAAATAATGTATACAAAAACACATAGAGAAATGCAGGCTTCTCAGGGCTTGTCCCAACACAAATACACAGCCCTGCTTTTCTTTCTTCTGGTTTAGGGAGGAATCTCCAGTGTTGAGTAAGAAATGGACATGAGCAACACTCTTCCTACATTAGCAACACATATATAAAATACAGAGACAAGGGAGGGGCTGCACTGATTTAACAAGCAAGCACGTAACTCCACCAAGAGTTTCTGGAAACATCATAAACTCAGACAGCAAAAGATTGGGTGATTTATGAAGTCACCCAGTCCCCAAAATAGGATTAAATGACTTTAAATCACTGTAACCATTCATTTATAATTAGTGTTTCTAATAACCCATATCATCTGTGAAAAGGTGAATTAAACTCATGGCAAATCTCTCATGGATGAAGTTAAAACCCTTTCTCAAAACAGCCAGATGCTCATGCAAATATTGCCAGGGACTGGAATGGAATGGAGCCACCTGGCAATCCAGTTGCTTGTAATATGCTAACAATGATTAGTGTTTCAACAGGATCTCCAGGGGGAAACATCAGAATCTTCCTGCACAAGAGTGAATGTAAACTGGAGCAGGGTGGGCTAAAATCTGTAGGAAAAGACACATGTGATTCCACTTCCTGGATTTGGAGGCTGCGACTAAAGACAATTTCCTTAGTAGTTTGTCAGATTCTCATGTCTATCCATAGTATGCTCAGTACAGAATCAGGGAACAAAATGGATTTAAGTCATCCCTTTGTTCTTCCAATCCTGGTAGCGTTGCTGGGAACCAGCAGCCTAGAGGTATGAGTTTGGGTTTGGGTTCAGCCCATATATCATTTAAACATTCAATAATAGTGCAACAATTCCACCAGAAATAACATTAAAAGCTTTTATACAAGTGATGAAAACAAGAGGACATGGATTTTAGCTATGCTACTAGTTAATGTTACAACTGAGATGGTTTCCCAAACTGCTATATGCAAAGGATGTGCTTCAAAACAGAAGAAGCATATCAGGATTTTATGACATAAGATCAACTGATTAGAAATTTCATTCTGGCTTTTTGTGCAGTCACTTCCACCCTCTCTACGTTATCATCCAAATAATGTATATTAAACTACTTACTGTTCAATGCCTGATTGCAATGAAAGCAATCAGATGAGAGGGTCCCTATTAGTAGACAAGACTGGCAGAGGGTGCGGAATAGAATTCTCTATTTTTTGTGGCCAGGCCTTTCATGTGAAAGGTCATCCAATGTTCTGCTTAGTATCTCATTGGAATCTTATTTTGCATCACCCTTTGTTCCTAGATCAAAAACATTCAAAACTGGTAGATGCCAAAGACAGTCCCTAATGAAATGTCAGTTCAGGAATTATGCGTAGCTTATGGCTCAGCAGCAATTAAGGGGAGGCATAAGCACAGTTAGAACATGAATACCGTAGTAAACACAAAGGATCATGCAATCATAGAGGTATAATACATTTTAGATCATCCAGTCCTCTCTCTCAGAAGAGCTGTGCCTGCTTACATTAGGTCTGAATTTGGCAACACTGCATCCATTCAATTAAAGTTTTTATGCTGATGTACATTGCAAGAGCTTCCCCAAACTGTCAGCTTGCATGACCAAATGGGAAAGAGGAGGGCAGTACTAGAAAGAATAACTAATCTGACACTGACTTTCACTGACCCTGCACAGAGTAAATGGACCTTGTTGGACTAAGGCTATGTCTAGATTGCAAAGAAAAGTCAGAAAAAGATACACAAATTACGAACCGCAATTTGCATATATTTTTTTTCGAAAGAGGCTTTTCCGAAATTTGGCCCATCTACACAGGGCCAAATTTCTGAAAAATCTCCTCTTTCGGAACATCCCTTCTTCCTCATACAATGAGGAATACAGGGATGCTGAAAGAATGTGTCCGCTTTTTCAGCAACTGTTCCAAAAAAGCAGACATGTTCCTTGGACGCGGCGTAGCTTTTCTGGGATACCTCCAGTATCCCAGAAAAGTTGTGCACTGTAGACATAGGGTAACTCATATCTTATTAGCAGGGAAGTTACGCAGGGAGCTTTTCTGTAGACCATACAGTATGGTTTAGGAGAGTGATCAGACTGGGGATGGTTTTTTACACTGGCTAAGCAACACAAATTACTACCACTGTACTCTAAGCTTTGGGAATCCTCCTTCAGTTCCAGGAGAGCAAACAAATAAAGTGCAAATAGTGTTTCCAGACAGCACTTTAATCAGAGAAGGACCCAAACACCAGATCTGGATATCCCTTAACGTTGTCTGGAATCCAAACCCAGATCTGACTTTTGGAGCTAGTTTCTAATTTCATAAAACCCCAGATCGGAAAAAAACATGAATATTAATGGGTCCAGATACAAAGTCCTGCGTGATTTATCTGTGTGGGGCCTATATAGCCAACGCAGTATGATACCACTTATTTCAAAATGAGATAGCAAAGTATGTGTTAGTATGTGGTATTGTGCATATTAAAATCCTGATTAGGGGCCATATTTGGTGTCCACCAGAGTGGGGGGAGGAGCGGGCACAAGCACTTGCATTCCTTAGATAGATCCTGCTCTCTGTGGAAAAGGTCTGGGATTTGAGCATGGCCATGTACCTCTGCCCTCTGCACTGATCTGCTAAAGAAGGGTGTGCATACTGTACCCATTCAGAGGGTAGCAGAGCTCCTGCTTTGGTATGCCCACAATTGGAGCAATCCCAGCTGAACCAGCCACAATGCTTCCTGGGGTCTCTGGCTACAGAGCATGGCTCCTCCACACAAGCCAGAATCTAGCCTTACCAGATTCATCGGGGACAAAGCAAAATCCATTTTATACTCGCTCTCCCTGTAATTTTTCATCCTTCATTTTTGGACAGCTGGTTTTCATAACCAATTTAAGTTAGGACACAGTTTTTCAGGTGCTTTGACTCCGTAAGGAAAGAACATACTCAGAGTTCCTTTTGCCTCCTGCAGCAGTGACTTTGAGCTCAGAGTTGCAAATTGTGCACAAACAGCTGCATAGGTAAATATTCACACTAATCATTTTCATGTGCAATTACCACATACATATTCACAGCTCGGGTAACAGTGTATGCAAATGTCACATGTTTAAGTGGCCATTTGCACATGATATCTCAGAACATGTAAACAAAAAAATTGTTTGCATTTACGTGCAGACAGTTATTGGCATGCACTTCTGAAAAACTTTGCCCACATGAGTGGGAAGTCCTTGGTAGTATGAATATGCAGCAAAACTCAAAATGTGTCTGGAGCCTATCTCACATTTACTTTAGCAGCAAACCTACAAGGAATGCTGTTATAATTGGAGCACTTTGCATGATGGGCAATTTGAGAATTTTGTGGAGAGGAAGGTTTGGGGAGGATAAATTGTGCAATTACTTATGTCTCGTTTCCAGCATGCAAAAATCTCTGGTTTGTAATGGCAAGCAACGCACCATACATAGACTGAACGCCTTTGCAATTCCCATGAATTATTTCACAGTCTTTTCTCTTAACATTCACTTTGAAATCTGAAGACATATGTGCTTCCCATATTCAAATGTCCAGTCACAGCGACAGACACAAAACTCTCACATTTTGGTTGTGTTTCATTGTCTCAACACACACACAGAGTTTGTGTTTGGAGTCCATTGAGGAAAGGGATTTAGAGCAAATATCAAATAAAGAAAATAAACTGAAAGAGAAAGAAATCAAATAAATTAGTCAAAATACTTATTTAAAAAGTTACAAAATAAGATGGTATTAATGGCACTTAAAGCTATAAGCACTTAAAATATTTCCATCATATTTCATCATCTTCTGTTGGTTATTTTCTTCTTTTTCAACTTTTGTTTCTGAGGGGTCGGGGGAGGGTTTTTGTTTGTTTTTGGAGGGTATGACCAGCTCCTGTCTAAACCCTAACCCATCAAAAGGGACATATGGCCCTGAGATACTAAGGTTGCTCTGGTCCTCATTTTAGTATTGTAAATGCTCTTAAGTCTACTCTTTAAAATTCCAGTTGAGCTACAGAGAACAGCCAGTTGCTGACGTCATGCAAAGGCCATAGCTTTCTTTCTGTCTTTGTAGTATTACAGCATTAAAACTGAACTTGCTTCAGTGATATAAAGTGTGAACAAGAAATATTTTTTAAAAAATTGGCCCACAATTTGATGAGCCAAGCAAAACACGTATATTTTTTTCCTCCTCTTTTACATCATGTAGTGTTTGAACTTGTTTATTCAGAGTTTTTGAGTTTATATCAGCTACTTCCTCGGAGGGAAGAATTTTTTTTTCTGTATTTTTGTGGGGTTTTTTAATGGAAAAAGCAATCCCATCCTTTAATATTATGTTTACTTTGATTTCACAACCAATGACCAACTGACTTCCAGGTCCAGGGACATGCTTTTGGATTTTAGAAAGATAATACATCTGATTTTAAAACTGAAACTAGCTTGGATCACGTGCCAAAATGTAAACTCATCCTTATTGAAAGTTGTTAGTTGATCCCAATCATTTCTCCTCTTTTCAATCACCAGAGGGAGGCTCAGGGAAGCCATGATCAATTTAGAAGATTCACCAGTCTTGCTTCTTTTTTTTTTCACCCTCCCACAGGTTCTCTAACATAGCTGTCCTTTGCAAACAGTATGACATGGCAGTAGCATTCCAGCTGTATTGCCATGGTAAGTTTCTCCCTTTGCATTTTGCCATTGTAATTTTACACAGGCTGAAGTTCCCCATGTGTTGCTTTCTGATGCCACTCTCCAGTGCTGTGTTTCTGATTCATTTTGGCAGAGCAATCTTCAGTCATTATGGCACAGTGAAATATTCTTCGATGCTATGTAATTCAGACTGAATAAGGAGTCTGTATAAGGCACGTGTCTCAATATATATATGTATATATATATATATATATGTATGTATATAAAAACACTAACATTAGTTAATTAAAGTTAAGTGTCTTTTACATTTAATTTCTGTCTTCAAGTAATGTTTTGTTTTCTTGTTCCCTTTCTTTGGTTTCGGTGGGGATAGTTCCATTTTCCAGGTCCAAGTGCTGCTGAATACAGCTGGTCAGAATAGCAGTGCTAGAAGAGTTCTCTGAGTTACACATCTTCTCATTCTCCTCTTCTTTTTTCTCTTCATCCAAGGAGTAGTGTCGGAAGGTCTCATAAATTTTCCGCACATCCTCAGGGATACTTTTTTTCAGGTCTTTGTTTTTCCTTTTGGTCAGCTTGGACGAGGAGCCAAACTTGTTGACGATGTTGTCCTCAGATGACCCCTGCCCGTGCTTGTTGAGCTGTTCTGTCCCTTTAAGGCGCAGGTTGTTAGGTCTGTTGTTGATGCTTTCCTGAGATGAGGCCTTGAAGCGTCCTGTCTCCAAGGCAGCAAAGACAGAGCGCTTCTCTGGAGAGAGCATATCCAGTGAGTGGGCTCTCTGGTCCAACCCTAGGCGCCTACGCTCCATGCTCCGAATGGTGGCTGCCCTCTGAAGCTTGTCATGGATCTCCACACTGAGCCGCCTCCGGGTTTCCCTGAACTCAGCAGTCACATTGGCCTTCCATTCAGCCGCATGGGCTTTTATTTCACCAACCTTTCCAGAAAACAAACAAACAAAAACACGCTGAGGAAAGAATGAAATTTTCACTGTAGAATAACACCACATTTGTATTGTATGTCACAGAATCAGAGATTGGTCATAGATGAAATGTCTAGATCTGGAGCCTTGAGCCAGCCCCAATCATCCCCACAATTTGGCAGTGCTAGCATCAGGATCTAACAACTTGTATCCCACACATGTGAGTTGTTTGGCTGCTATCAGTGGATGTTTTATTTCCTTCTCGCATGCTAGGGTACTCTCACACTCTTACTAGCCCTTCCTTCATTACGGAAACAATAAAACTAGTGATTGATAACCTCTGTGCACTCCTCACGTAAACAGGCAGCTCAAAGAACCACCAGCAACCAAGCATTTCTGAGGTCTCTAATAACTGAGAAGTCATAAATATTACTGTATTAGATAAAACCTGCTTCTCAAACTCTGATCACACTTACACCTGTGCAATCCCACAGAAGGTTCTTTATTGAACCATGCAATGATTGATTTAGGTAAAATCAATATTCTTATTATTTTACATAGGGGAAGAAACATATGATCCAATTAGTCTGGTATCCTGTCTCAGAAAATTACCAAATGCTTTAAATAGGAAGTGTAAAAATGTCCATAATTTACTGGGAACTACTATATACTAAAATGTTGGAATTTCTTTATGCCAGCTGCTGATCAGGGTTTTTTCCCCAAGATTGAAAAAAAATTGGGAAATTCACTGTGAGTGCTTCAAAGAGACATTTTAATATACCAATGTGATTTATTGTTTTATTTTTAGCTCCAGGTACATGAATGCAGAATGATGACTTCATGTGCCTGGCGTGAAAAACAAACATAACATAACATAGAATAGGAAGTTCACATAGCTTTGGTGTTGTATGAATATGTCTTCTAATACAGAAAAAAATAAGAGTGAAAGAAATGAATTAACTGATGTTGCAGCCTTTCCCAAGGTTCATTTGAAAAGAGAAGAATAGTTTTAAGCTAATATAGCTTGTGATCAGCACACTAACACAAACCAAATTCTTCCATGATGTATCTCACATAGTATCTTTGGAGATGCACCAGAGACCTCAGGTGACTCAGCTAACTTCACCAATAACTCTCTTGATAATGAGCAGCAGTACTAATTTGGCAAACTCGGTTATGCATTCCCTAACTAATCTGCCAAAGTAAATTTCATTGCGGATGTAAGAGGGGGGGTGTGAAATTAATATATAATTCTTGAGCCAATGCTTAATAGCATAATGCTTCAGGCAAAGCAGCTAACCTCGTTTTCCACCCTGATTATCAGTAAGTCACTAGAATATTGTCTTCCCTTCCCCATGAACTGTGGAGGACAGTGTTTGGCTGAAATTAACCAAGGGCAAGTACTAGGACAGTAACTGCTCTTGCCCAATGTTGCAAAAGTTTCTTCTGATTTGGTTTATTTTTTTTTTATTTTTTTTTTTAAGTATCTTTCTACTGGCATTTCTACTTCATTTTTAGAAGAGCTGGACCTGAACCCAAATCTTAACTCTGAATCACTATCCCTGAGTTTGCGGGTAAGGGAAAAGTGGTTTAAAATCCATCCAAAATTAAAGTGTGACACTTGCTTTATAATGAGCTAAATCAAACCCTGTGGTCAGTTCCCTCCCCCTCCCCTTCTCTCATTAAGAAATCAAGAGATTGGAGCAGTTTAGTCATGAAAGGATCCAAAATAGGAAGAAGTTTGAAAAGAAGCAGCCAAAAGGATAAATAAAAGAGATTATTTAGCACAGGTATAAATAAGGGACCATCACTCCCTGGTCAGCAGTGATTTGGCATTTAAAGTTATCTTAAAAAGTGATAATTTACTGATCAATTAGCAGTCATACCTCTTCTTTTGTCTTCTTGGATAGAACTCTTAGCCAGTCTCCAATCATACTCAGGACAGCAGCAAAGTAGGCAAGGCCAACAAGGATCCAAAACCAGACCAAGGGCTTATACCACTCCCGATAATGGATATCAGTATTTCCCCCTGAAATAAGCATACATGCTTCTGTTCATGTGCAGATACAAGGTTGTGTTGTCTGAGGAACAGCTGGAATTCCCCATGTCCCTTCCTAAACTGAGACCTGTCCTAAAAGGGTCTAATGTTCTGCTGCTATATGGCTGGTCAGAATATTCTGTAAGTTTTTTCTTTACATTAAATAATACTTTGAAGGAAGATATTGGGGCCCCAATTTTAATGCTTGGTTAAGGGCACAAACAACTTTCCAAAGACTAATCCTAATACAGGTACAGAGTATAATTTTCTGATAAACCAGATACTATATTTAAAGGAATGATGAGCCAGTAAAAGGGCCTTATAGAAAATACATTATGGAAAATAATATTATCTGAAGCACATTTCACTAAATTCTACACATGAGCCAAACCTGAAACCTCATGTTATAATTAGGATCCAAACTTCCAAAGAGCTTTGGGGCATGTCTGGATCTGGGGATTTGACCTGGTCCAGTCTAAAGAAGGGAACATGCAGGAAGAGTGAGTCAATACCAGACCCTTCTGACTATTCAGAACCATTTAGAGCCAGAGTTTGGATTGGGGCTCTTCACTTGTTATATTTTCTGTTTTATCTTAAACAGTTTCATTCTAAATACAGAATCTAATTTTCCTGTTTTACAATTTGGGTAATAAATAGCATATTTCAATTTATCTAAGGACGATGCACATGAGTGTTATATGTTTATATGTTTATAGCCACAGGAGAACACAGGATTTTTCACTACCAATAACAATCATAATTACAAATGAATGTTTTCCCTGGAGCTTTTACAGGCAATTTGCAATCTGATACATTCTAATGAGCCCTTAAAATGAGTTTTACTGAGCTTGAGCATGAGTGTTCTTACAATGATTGAACACTCCCTTGAAAGCCTAGCATTCAGATGCTGGCAGAGAGTCAAATATTGTTTTTTATTCTAATCTCACTTCATACACACTATGCATCACTTTGTCTTTCCAGTCTTCCTCCATGTGAATCAGAGGGAGGTGGAGGTTGTCATTGCTATAATACAAGCCATTCTGGTCATATATGCCCCAGCAGAAATTTTCTGTAAAGTGGATTACCGTGGTCTGTCATATTAAAAAGCCAGGCTATGGATGAAGAGCCACCCTACCTTTCTCAGGCTACCAGATTTCCCACTTTGTTCAGCAACAGCAATCACTTTTTCTAGTTTACAAAGACACTGGGCCAAATTCTCAGATGACATAAATCAGTGCAGTTCCCTTGTCATTACTTGCCTTAATAGTGTATCTTTATTCCCATTTTACAGATGAGGTAACTGTGGAAGGCAGCAATTAAAGAGTCTTCCTAACAGTCACACAGGAAATCTGTGGCAGAACCAGAACAGATCCCCAAATCTTCTGCTTCCCACTCTAACTCTGCTATCATGAGATCATCCTTGAGGCTTTTGCATTACATTCCATTTGACTCTAATAAAACACCAGTTGTGGGATGCTGAATGATTTTGAATTTTATTCTTCTGAACACTCTTAGCAATCAGATTTTTTTTTTAAGATTTAAAGAACTAATGTTTTAGAATTAAATTTCTTAAAAAAAACAGAGGGGAAGGGAAAGTTCTACAGACCCAGGAAAAATATTGTGAAACACCCAAATTTCTTTGGTTACCTTCTTACGATACCACAAAAACCCAACCATCAGTGGATTCTTCTATCCATTATTCTTCACATTCAAATAGTTAAAGATGGACCAAAGTCAAAAAATTCAGATCTGGATCTGAATTTTCCCATAGTTCAGGTGTATTCAGATCTGGGGTTTGATTCAGGCCCATCTGCACAGATAACTCATGTCTTCCCTACCAAAATAAGAAAGGGAGGGTGAGGGGGCTGTTTATAAAAGAACAACTTTTAGCAAGCAAACTGGTCACCAACTGGTTCAATCTGAATTGTTTTAACTCACTCACATTTCATTGGTGTAATGGGAAATAATAGGACAACTGCATAGTGATCTCTTTGCAACACAGGGATTCGTCCTTGTCTCTACACATTTGTTATAGCCACTAAAATTAATGGGAATGAAGCGCACATATCAATGGGAAGATAGATGCTCTTGGTTTCTAACCACCTTTTCCTCAGCAAAGCTTCCATGACCATCAATAGCAGGACAGTCCTTTTGCTGGTAATTGATGGGGATTAATATTTATGGTACCTGTTTAGGACTATACTCATCCCAGAAAGTACACAGTATCCTCCTAATACTCAAATACACATCTCCTTAGGTCAGATCTGCACTGAGGGGGCAATGTAGAACTCAGATACACAACTAGTTGACATACCTTCGTTTGAGTTACCATAGCATCACCACCACAGGAGGTCGACAGGAGAAACTCTCTCATTGACTCCCCTTACTCTTCTCGCTCCGGTGGAGTACCGGAGTTGACAGGAGTGCAATCAATGGTTAATTTAGCAGGTCTTTACTAGACCTGCTAAATGGATCCTTGGGAGATCAATTCCCACAGCACTGATCACCCGGTAAGTATAGACAAGGCCTTAGTCCCTTTTCACTTCTAATATTAGTGTTCCTTAATAGGATGGCTGCAGTTTCAAAATTTGTATCATGGTTAGAGAGTAAAATCCTGCAAGCTGTCTCTGAGAAAGCTGCCGCTCATGCAAAGGAAGCTGTGCGCCTGTTATAGCAGCTACCACATGTATTGGACGTAAAGGCTCAGAGATACACCAACATGGCCATCCAATGGGAAAACCTCATCAGGAAAACCTCATCACCTTATCTATTTGCTTCCCCGATTAAGGCCGTTAGTCATGTGATGCAAAAGGCACTACTACAATTCAGATGTCATGAATTCACTAGGAAATTAATTTCACTCATGCATAATTCACTGCATGATAAAGGAAAAGGAGAGGTTCCAAGAGGAAGACTGCTCAGCACCTGAGCTCATCAGATGGCTAGGCACCTGGAGTTTAAATTAGCTTGTCCTGCTATGTGCAATTTGTCCGTTGCACATTGACACAGATGAAGATATTTAAAATCATTTTCAGTGGAGTTCAACATGTGTTTAAAACCCTGCTCTGCACCTTTGAAAAGTATATAGGAGCCAAGACACCTATCCCTGGCATCACTAGAATGAGGGCAGCATTTCAGGGCTCAGATTGCTCACCTGCTACAAAATCGCCAAAGCCAACTGTAGTTAGAGTGATGACCACAAAGTAAATAGACTCCAAGGTTGTCCATCCTTCAATCTGCTTGAAAATGACTGCAGGGATGGTCACAAAGACGATGCACCCTGCCAGGATGAAGAGGATAGTGGAGATCACCCGGATTTTTGTCTGACTCACTTGTTTTTTCTAGAGAAGGGAAACAGCAAGAGAGAAAACATTTTTGATAGATTACTGGCACTTTATCCCCAGTTGCTGAATTTAACAAAAATTACAGGCCTGATTGTGTAAGTAAGCCCTTAAAAATTACTCTTGTTTCAGACAAGGCACAACCATGGCTGCTTCTGCTGGTGCAGGTACTTCTGCTGTTTAAAAAAATCTATATCAGGCTGAATCTCTCGACATCTCCCCTCTATGGTGAGCTCTATTGCAATGCTGCTCCCTGTTTTCCAGTGAGTGGCATGTGTGCTAATTTACAAGAATTTTGGGGTGTTCCACATCCCAGAGCAAATGAGATTGTGACTTGGAGTAGCTAAGGATCCATTGCAGGTTCAGAAAAATTAATGGGGAGTGCATAAATACGTACATGTATACACACCACACACACACATACACACACTCACACAACCAGTGTTGTCAACCACAAGCAGTCAAAAATTATGAATCTGATATAAAAAAAATCATAAAATTAGCTTAAAATCATGACATTATTAACTAACAACACTTTGGGAGTCTCTCATTTGATTTTTAAGCCTTTAGGATGCACTCAGGTCATAGTTTCCAGCTTTTCACAGCAACCAGAAGTGCTAGAAATTCACTATTTTTTTAAAATGAATGACTGCTAGAGATGTGGCTCCAAGGAAAACACTAAATATCATAAGATAGGAGATAACATTGTGGCTACGTCTACACTGGCATGATTTTACGAAAATGTTTTTAACGGAAAACTTTTCCGTTAAAAGCATTTTCGGAAAAGCGCGTCTAGATTGGCAGGATGCTTTTCCGCAAAAGCACTTTTTGTGGAAAAGCGTCCGTGGCCAATCTAGACGCGGTTCTCCGCAAAAAAGCCCCGATCGCCATTTTCGCGATTGGCGCTTTTTTGCAGAAAACACTACCGTGCTGTTTACACTGGCCCTTTTGCGCAAAAGTCTTTTGGAAAAAAACTTTTGCCCAAACGGGAGCAGCATAGTATTTCCGGAAAAGCACTGACAATCTTACAGAAATTCAAGTGGCCAGTGTAGACAGCTGGCAAGTTTTTCCAGAAAAGCTGCTGATTTTCCGGAAAAACTTGCCAGTCTAGACACAGCCTGTGAGACCCGGCAACACTGCAATGGGCGCCTATGTAAGATTATGCTGATGAGCCTTGAAGCAAGGAGAGAAAGACCATTCTAGCTGCTGTAAGTTGAACATCTATGACAGCGATGTAAAATTAATTTTTTCAACGCTGTGTTGAAAAAAAAATTTCAACGCTGGTTGGCCACAGTCATTGAGGCAAGATTCTGATTTTGGTACACATCTAAATTAACTGTTAACTTCAATGCAATTACTCCAAATTTATCGTGCTGTAAATGAACACAGAATTTGGTAAAATATTTGAAGAACTCTGAGAACCACTGGTGTTTTGTAGATTAATTCAAACTCAAATTTAAATTGTATATGTTTATCCTGGAGAGGGAAGGTTGAACTCAAGGGCTACGTCTACACTGGCCCCTTCTTCAGAAGGGGCATGCTAATTTTGAAAGTGGGAATAGGGAAATCCGCGGGGGATTTAAATATCCCCCGCGGGATTTAAATAAACATGTCCACCGCTTTTTTTCCGGCTTGGGGAAAAGCCGGAAAAAAGCGTCTACACTGTCCCGATCCTCTGGAATAAAGCCCTATTCCGGAGGATCTCTTATTCCTACTTTGAAGTAGTTCCTCAGTCAGATAAACTCAGAATTGCAGGATTCCACTTTCTATTGTTTTGTATGATATGTAGCTGACATGGCTAGAGAAAGAAGTAAGTTCCTCTAAAAGTTAACTGGTGCAATGGTATTGGGCATTAGCCTTTCACACTGGAAGACCTGAATTCAGACTTGCCCCACGCACCGGTTTTGAGCTTTATTTCCCAATTTGGTGGCTGCAAGTTGGACATGTCACTTAAATGCTCTGTGCCTTAGTTTTCCCAGCTATAAAAAGGGAACACCATGCTTCCCCACCTCATACTGAGGCTTGAACAATGTTTGTAAAGAACTTGGAGATCCTTGGCAAAATAAGTGCTTTGGATCAGATATATAATATTAGTAAAGTAAACATAAATATGGTGCTTCTAGTCTGCATATATCCATATCAGTATGCATTTCAGTGTGAGTGACAATGCAATCTTGAACAGGATAGGACCATAACTGGCTGATGCAGGGTGGTACAGATCAGTACAGCAAACACTTGGGACATCTGCTTATTCAAATAATCATTATAAGTCTTTCTATTTCATGGACAAATCAAAACAACCAAAGGTTTTTAAGAGAAATTAAAATTTGACTAGAAGCTTAGGGAGTAGCTGAGTTAGTCTATACAGAAAAAACAACAAATGGTCTGGTAGCGCTTTATAGACTAACAAAACATGCCCTCATTCATACTACTCTGCACCTCCATGTACACCAAGGCAAAACAAGGATAAAACACCACCAGACCAGAATGTGTATTCACTTGGGCTATGTCTAGCCTGCAAGCCTCTTTCGAAAAAGAGCATCTAGACTGCAAGCAGTACTTTCGAAAAAGCAAGCCGCTTTTTCGACAGAAAGCAGCGAGTGAGTCTGGATGCTCTCTTTCTAAAAAGCCCTGTTGGCATTCAAGAATGGCTTTTTTTGAAAGAGCACTTTAGAAAAAAAGGTCGTGCAATTAGGTTTACCGCCGTTGAAAGAAAAGCCGCGTTCTTTCGATTTAATTTCGAAAGAACGCGGCTGCAGTCTAGTCGCAGGTGAAGTTTTTTCGAAAAAAGCCTACTTTTTTCGAAAAAAACCCTGAGTCTGGACATAGCCTTGCAGTGTGTCAATATTCCCTCTAAACTTTTCCATTCATGTGTGGAATCAATTTTCATGTGTACCAAGGCATGTGTGAATATGCACCGCCAGTAGAAACAAAACTTAGCTGTGGGTGCTCTGCTGATCAGCTGGGCAGCATCTGTACAAGTGCACAGACTACAGGGAACCCTGCTATGTACTAGCAGAAATGATTACTCAAGGTGATGAACCCATCATTTTTAGAGCTAGTGACAATAGCACAAAAGCAAGAATACTCTCCCCAAATACATTACTTGCTGAACGATAATATGTGGAATATAGTATAGCAGCAGATCAGCAGGCTCAATTATTTTTTCACAGTGTGGACTAACACGCTAGCAGAAAGCTTGTCTCATGGTGTGACATGGGGCCCAAATGGGTTGCAAAACTAGCAAGCTAAATGAACTAAACTCATCCTTTAAAGGCATATTATAAAAGTGTATAAATGGTAATTAGGACCATTTCTTACAAATAGCTAACGAAGCCATGTTAGCTAGATTAGAGCTTTGAAATGTAGACTTATACTGTTAGAGAATTAGAAGAATATAGTGATTGCATTTGTCTGCTTTTACCTAAATCTTGTTAGAGGTTAACAATGTAAACCGAAGGTCCTGTCTATTACTACAGTCTATTGATTCGGAGATCAAAAGGGATTATTAACATTTAGCTGAAACTTAGGTGTAATATCACTGTATATATTTCTATTTGAAGTTTGTAGTAACTGTCCATGAAATGTTTAATGGATAAATTACCTTATGCTGATGAATGCAACTGAGTACCTATGTATACATAGGAAATAGGAGGTTTTACTTCAAAGTCACAATGCTTCACCCAAGGAATACATGATGTCAAGAGGCTATTGATAACCTGCCAGAGATCTATAAAAGAACTGCAGGGCTTTGATCCTGTTATCTCAGATCTGCTAAAGTTAGTGAGGGGACGCTTAAGTCACAAAACTGAGGTTTCCAGATATAGTCTGCATTTCCCTGTTAATTCTCATGGAAGTTTTTGAACAAACTCTGTATATGGATTGCCTATTTGGACTGTTATCTGAAGAACTGATTCTGGAAAGAACTTTTTACAATTCAGCAGCTCACCACCTCTACTATGAAAGTGACCTAAGGACTTTGTTCATATTTGTATGTATAATACTCTCATTTCTTTTCAGTAAATATTAGTTCAGTTAATAAGAATTGGCTGTAAGCATGTATTTGGATAAGATTTGAAATATTTCTGGACCTGGTGGACAATTTATCTGATCCCTTCGGACTGGTAGAGCTTTATGTATGATGGACATTTTCAGCAACCTTCATCATATTTGACTTGGCTGTCTGGGTGGGAGCCCAAGACTAGCTTGATTTATGAGAGCTATGTTTTTGTCTTCAGGTAAACACCGTTTTTTTGCTGGCCTGGTGAATCAAATTATTAGAGTAACAATCAGTTTGAGGGACCATCTGGACCATTCTCCATGTGTGCACCCAGATCTCTCTGGGCCACCAGCAAATGCTCTGCAGACCAGATATTGAAAGCCAGCAAAATAGACCACAACCAAATCCTTCAGTCTGTCTGTCACCATCTGGCTGGCTGGGCTAATGGTGATATGGCAACTTACTGATAATTAGCCATTGCATAGGATTGGGTCCTTGAGGTGAGGCTTTGGGTCACTGAAGGGAAAAGCCATCATGTCAGTGCTGTAAAACCATACAACCATGAGGAAACTGAAATAAAGAGGAAAGATACAGAGTCATACCCCACCAGAGGCCTGGGAACAGCAAACCCATTGTGAGAGTCAGGCTAAACAGAAATCCAGCCTAAAGAAAAGACGACCCTGAGAAGGAAGGGACGTAAATGTGCTTCCCCAGCTGATTACATCACACACAAAGTTGTGTGGCTGCAAGAGGATCAGAAATGGGCCCTCATTGCTCCTTCACTGAAGAACTGCAGGCAGAAAGATGCATTCAATTGTCAAGAGAAACACTAGTGAGGCACTAGTCTGGATGAAGGAGACCCAAGATGCCAAAGGGTATAAGTGTTAGTGTATCATGGGCAGCTGCTCTTGAAAAGACCACGAGGTGGCTTTACTGCTGGCTTATCAGCTGTGAAAGCTCAGTGCTATTGATAACTTCTGACTACTGCCAAAGGGCTTGA